ATGAGAAAAAATATAAATATGGGAAAAATATATAAATATGGGAAAAATATATAAATATGGGAAAAAATATAAATATGGGAAAAATATATAAATATGGGAAAAAATATAAATATGGGAAAAATATATAAATATGGGAAAAATATATAAATATGGGGAAAATATAAATATGGGAAAAATATGAATATGGGAAAAATATGAATATGGGAAAAATATATAAATATGGGAAAAATATATAAATATGGGAAAAATATATAAATATGGGAAAAATATATATAAATATGGGAAAAATATATAAATATGGGAAAAAATATATAAATATGGGAAAAAATATATAAATGTGGGAAAAAAATATAAATATGGGAAAAAAATTATAAATATGGGAAAAAATACAAATATGGGAAAAAAAATTATAAATATGGGAAAAATATAAATATAGGAAAAAAAATTATAAATATGGGAAAAATATATAAATATGGGAAAAAATATAAATATGGGAAAAATATAAATATGAAAAAAAAAACCATAAATAAGTAGCTTCAATGTATAAGTCGCAGGACGTGCAAATTATGACAAAAGGTGCGAGTTATACAGTGAAAAGTCCGGTAGTTTCTCTTTGCCAGCATTGAAAAAATGTATTCTGACAGCACTTACTGGACTGACTGGTACTTGTCTGTTAACATCAACAAATACCATTTTATTTGACACGCATCATTTATAATACAGCTAATAAACAATGTCCAAAAGTAAGAGACAAAAAGAATAGCTCAAACTGCCTGCGATTTCAAATTTCTGTAATAAATATGAATTTTTTTGGAAAGATAATGTCTTGCCAAAAAAAAAAAAAAAAAAGTCAGGCCAGAGATGAAAGGTTGTTGGATATTCACATGCAAAGTGATGTCAAAGGGTGAACAGAGCACTGCCCCAACACAGGCTGTGGAGGAGTCTCATGTGTTTTACATTATTCTGAGTCAGTGTCTGAGAGAAAGCAAGAGCTCAAGTAAGAGTGTCTGAATAACAAAGAGCAGGGAGCTCTCCTGTGATGTCACTTCCTGGTTCACTCTGCAACTAAAGACAGAAAAGACGCCAGTTATGTGACAAAATGGGTAAAATCATGTGTACAGGTCCTTCTCAAAAAATTATCATATTGTGATAAAGGTCATTATTTTCCATAATGTAATGATAAAAATGAAACTTTCATATATTTCA